AAAAAAAAAAAAAAAAAAAAAAAAAGACAAAACTATCTGCAAGATCAAGAAAAAATAAATCAGGCTCTGCCCAAGAAAATGTGAAATGCCCTGAAATCCACACAAGAAACTGGATAGCAATTTCTCCAAATTTGACAATCCTAAATGTTCAGATGACATCACCAACAACTTCTCTAAATTATCAGCAAAAAATACATACATATATAAATATATATAAAAATACATATATATACACACACACACACACACACACACACACACACACACACACACATCAACATGCTAGAGAAGGGGTTGGCAAACTACAGCCCATAAGCCAACTCCAGTTGTCTGTATTTATATGTAAAAGTTTATTGNTCAACATGCTACAGAAGGGGTTGGCAAACTACAGCCCATAAGCCAACTCCAGTTGTCTGTATTTATATGTAAAAGTTTATTGAAATGGACACAAACATAAAAAAAACAGAACACCCTACTACTAGCTTTAGATACTGGTTATTTTACAATAACACTACATATCACAATAATATCATCTTACAAATGAACATTTTTCATTTTATTGGAACACAAATTATAATAATTCATTGGGATGTCTTATGCCTAAAGCAAGTTTCCAAACCTATCAAATATCATGAGACCAAAAAAAAAAAATTACCATCTGCCATCCAATTTACCAAACTGCATAAAAAAATCATGCTCCCTAAAAAAATCCAACTCACACAAACAATGAAAGTACAGCTGAACAGCAGTTACCATACCTTGGAAAGTATCAAGTCACCTAACCATCGCACACAATCAACATAATTCCTATGTATGTCTCTGGTAGAAAAGTCAGGAAAGTGAATTTTCTGAGAAATAAATGGCCTGAAATGGAAATGTAAAAGTTAAGAGAAAAAAGTATAGTAGAATCACACTGATTTTTATTTTTGGATTTATAAAACTTTGAAAAATAAAATATATGACTACTGATTTTTCTTTGATCCTCGAAAAATGAATATCTTGTCTTCTAGTTGAGAGCTAGTCTTACTCCATTTTTTGTTTCTATATTTTATTCCATTATCAGCCCAATTCAATTTTGTTTTTATCCTATGAAATTTCATTTATAAAAATTGCAGCTTCCTACCTTACTATACTATATATATAGGCCAAAATTAATCAATTCTGGCTATCCTAACCAATGATAAGCAAAGATGTGATTATAGAGCTGAAAGTTTTTCATAGAAAATACTTAATCCTTTAAAATTAGACTATGAAAGTCAACACATCTGGGTTATTTCAAAAGATAGTCATTTTTCTAGGAACAGTGAATGACACATCATTCCAAAGGCTGTGAAAGATAAGGTTACATGAGAGTCCTGCCTTGAGTAACAATTTCTGAAAATATGGTGGCATTTTTTCCCCTTAAAAACATTTTGTGCTTCAATGACTCTGGATCTTTTTTGTCAGTCAAATTATTCTTTGACACATGCAGTGTAGTCATTGACAGAATGATGTATTTCAGGGGGAAGAAAGGGTGGAAAGAGATTAACCAATGAACTTATACCCATAGCCTAAGGACAGACAGTGCGAGGAAGGGCTGGGGAAGGGGCAGGAGGGGGATGGAGGGGGTCAATGGAGGGAGAAATGGGGACATCTGTATTACTTTCAATAATAAAGATAAATTAAAAAAATTAAAAAATGTCTTGTGTAAAGACCATAAACTAGAAGTTGGTACTAATCACATAGTTAATTAAAAGTATACCTAACATTTCTAATCTAGTGAGTGATTTACTTTCTGTACTGAAATAACCAGGTAAGTTTGATATGCCATGAATTTAGTTATGTCTTGAACAAGTCACAAGTCCTCTCTTTACTTTTCCCACATATATAAAAAGGATGTTGGGCTGAGTAATTTCTAACATTCCTTCCAATACAAATTCTGGGATCTTTTATTAGACCTGGATGGTGTGGCTCAGTTGGTTGGGCATTGTCACTTGCACTGGAAGGTTGGGGGTTCCATCCCTGGTCAGGATGCATACAAGAGGCAACCAATCAATGTTTCTCTCTCTTCCCTCTTCCTTCCTCTCTCTCTAAAAATCAATAAAAAAATGTTTAAAAAAATTAAAATGTTATTCATGACCTGATATAAATTCTTAACTCTGCTATAATTATGTTATTTGTTTTTAAATCAAATACATATTATAATCTGTGGTTAAACCTCTCATGGAGAAGACCAGAATAACCCACTGTTCTTTTCTATAAACTGTGAAATATAATTTCTATGTATTCCAGAGCTCCAGAAAATATAAAAACATAAATTTAGTACTGTACTAGCTTTTGGTGTTTTAAAATGGGAATCTGAAAGCTGTGTTAATCCTTAGAGGCCACTGAGGTTTGATGAATGTTAGTGCACTGAAATATTTACTGATGGCTACAAATTTAACTAATAATCTAATAGTCTGGCTTGATAACTAGAAAATAAATTCTAGCTCTTTGCTAAAAACAAATGTACAAAGTTAATATACAGACTTATGATAGTTATAGTGAAAATGTTAATAATAATAATAATAGCCTAAATAAGATTCTGGAAAGATAGTGACCGAATAAAGAACTCAGGCATTTAAAAAAACATATTAAGAAAATTGCAAAGGTCCCACCTCTTAGTCCCATAGAGCAAAGCTCCCACTTTGGAAATTTCTCCATTTAATGAAATGAGTAGCAATTAAAGGGAAGCATTATATTAACATGAATTAAAGCTAAGACCTCCATTTAAAAAGCAAGATTTACTGTATTGAATTAAAATTTACACTGTTGACTAATAATGCTAACAACATTATTCTGAAGGGTCTTTTGCTCTATTCCACAATAAATTTAAGAGGCTTAACATTTTTATAAATTAAAAGGCTCACCATATACATAACTAAACAAAAATAAGTAAAATGTGCTACTAAATTAGAGAAAACACAATTTCAAGGGGATTTTGAAAAATGAAACACAAATATATTAGATTAAAAATAAATGGCTTCATGCCCGGCAGGGCATGGCTAAGCGGTTGAGCGTCGACCTGGGATCCAGGCGATTGGGGTTCGATTCCCGGTCGGGGCACATGCCCGGAATGCGGGCTTGATCAATGACTCTCTCATCATTGATGTTTCTATCTCTTTCTCTCCCTCTCCTTTCCTCGCTCTGAAATCAATAAAAGATATATTTAAAAATAAAAAATAAAAAAATGGCTTCCATTGAAAAATCAGTGAATTTTATGGTATGTAAAGTTTTTAAAAGAGGAGCTTCTAAACTCTGTGTTGGGGACTTATATAACAATTTTGTAAAAAGTAAAACTCATCTATTTAACAGCATGAGATAGATACTTGTTTTAAATGCCACAAATGTTACCTGTTAGTTTTATTTGGGTTATAATCATAAGATTCCTTAATTGCATTAATCATTCTCTTTGAATTAATCCTCCAAAGTTTAAGAGAGTGATCCATACCACAGGACATTATTTTTTCACCCAAAAGATCATAATCCTGTATGTGAAACAAAAAAGCTTCAGTTACATATTTAAATTAATTTTCCCAAACTATACTATTCAATTTTCACCTGATGTACAGTATTGTGAAAATTGTATTTCAAGCCACAAGACTCATATTTTGGGTTTCATCTATGTAGGAAATAAAACAGTTTTTATGCTCTCAAGATTTAGTTTTAAGTGATTTGTCACCACCACAGATGAGGTTATGATACGGAAGGCAAAAAAGTATCGTGTTTGAATTTCATTTTATCTTTCAATGAACTTTAAAATATTTTCTTTGCTTGATGCTGAAGATAAATTGAATGCTGAGGTATGACACAAGAACCTGAATAGTTATATTACTTTTCTCTGTCCAATCCTAATCAAGCAATGAAACTGACATCTGTATGTGAAGCTACTAAACAACTGAAATTTTATCTGTACATGTAAGTCAAAAACTTCAGTTACATTGGTCTTAAGAGTTCACTTTTTAAATGAATTTTTTTAAATGTTTAAAAAGGAAATACCATAAGTTTATCATTTGCTGTTTACCAATTTTTAATAGGCATCTAACAGATGATCTATTGTAATAACCTTATGCCATCTTATTTCATAGATAAGACACTGTGGCACAAAGATGCTATTTAATCTAGCACATGGTACATACGTTAATGAAAATCCCACACATCAATCCTTCTAACACTGAACTCATGTATTACAGAGAAGAAATACAGACTGTCACCTGTTCTCATTTTAAGAAATAACAGTAGAGTAGATGGTGATGGAAGAAAACTTGACTTGTGGTGATGGACACACAATACATTATACAGATGATGTATTCCAGAACTGTACACTTGAAACCTATGTAATTTTATTAACCAATGTCACCCCAATAAATTCAATTTAATAAATAAATACTTCCATTAAAAAAAAGAAATAGCAGTAGGGACTTCTATTTAAGGAAGATATTTTCCTCACCAACCTAGATATGTTAACCCAACCTTTGAATTAATCATAAATACTGCTTCACAAGAGCCTAAGAGCTTTAGGTTTGTTGTTTACTGAATTAACAAGTCTGGTTGCTGCTACTTTTCCTAATTACCTCACTTGTTAACAGCAACAAGGCACCGTCTGAGCCAGTAGCTAATTTAGAATTCTTAAAGAATGGTAGTTTTGGCTCTTTCACACATAAAGTCAAATGGAGAATTCTACTACAACTTCTAGAAAATCCAAGTTGGCAGGGTATCTTAAGGTAGGCATGTTTCTCACAAAAGCATACGCATTGCAACTATAGGAATACTTAGTACCTACAATTAAAATGCTACATGTGCCAAAATATGGTTCCCCTTTACATAGTTTAATGAAAAAGAACTGAATAGCTGTAAAACTACTAAATAAGCTCTAAATGAAACATAAGTAAAGCTAAAATAATGTAAAAATCTGAAACTTGACCAAAAACACTTATATAATCATAATAGATCAGTAAATTATAATATAAAGATAACACTATGCCATCAAAAAGAGTTATCTAAAACTCAGTGTGAGCACAATAAAACAATTCCTGAAAATGAAAAACTTATTTCAATTGCAAATAAAACATGAAGTTCCCCTCCTTAGGTAACCTGGTAGTCCCCAGCTACCAGGAGGTCACTACATTGATGCCAAATTCAGTACGGAGACCCCATCAGCACAGTGCACTACAGCCCAGAGCTCCTGGGCTCAAGCAATCCTCCTGCCTCAGCCTCCCGAGTAGCCGGGACTACAGGCCTGCACCCTGCACCCAGCAACTAACTAGTTTAACCATTTCTTTTAATAACTGAGAAACAGCAAAACAAAAGATAACTTGATTTTCGATCAATACAGGAAAAACACAAGTCCACAGTATTCTTCCATGAGAACCAGGCACTGGTATAAAACAGTGTATGAGTACAGACTAAACACAAAGAGCCTTACTTGCTTTATTCCTTCACCTGCAAGATAAAAATCCTGCTTGTCACAATAAATGAAATGACTGCCTACCAGGCTATGTGAAAAAAAAAAAACCCACCACCATATGCTTTCTTGTAAAGAAAGAGTTCCATGGGGATTGTTCACAACTATGTGCACCTGAAAGTCACTGCCCTGCAGCTTTCAACTTACAGCACTTAAAACTTCATCTCTGTGCCCTTCGACACCTCCAAATATTGCCACCAGAGTGTCTGTTTGGATATTCCATAATCGTAAAGCATGATCTAGGTTAGAAACAGAAAAATTAGGACGAATTTTTATCATTCATTTACTGTGGACGTTCAAAACCTCTTTAAAGTAAAAATTACAAAAGTTTGGACTTAACTTATGCACAATAAAGACTAAGAATGGAACCCACATCACTTAAAATATTTACATCACATAAAGATTTAGCTAGGTAATTAGCATAAACTTTCAAGAAAAGAAGTATCTAGTCTTAAAAATATTTTTTAACTTATTTACCCAATTTCCTTTAAATAACATCCTAATTTGATAGAGGTATGTTTTGAGATAAGAAAATACACAGGGATTTGACAGAAGCAAGTTTTACATTATGCCATAGAACAAGATACTGGCTTTGCCTTCCACCATATCCACTTATATATTAAAAAGGAGTGGATTTTTCTAAAACATGATTTTACTGATTTTAGAGAGAGAGGAAGGGAGGGGGGAGAAGAGAAACATCAATTGGTTGCCTCCTGCACGTGCCCCGACTGGGGATCAAATCCACAAAATCAGACCCGCATGTGCCCTGACTGGGAATCGAACTGGAGACCTTTTGGTGCATGGGACAACGCTCAACCAACTTGAGCCACACTGGCCAGGGCAGGACTGAGTAGATTTAGAAGATTTTTATGGTAAACCCAATAATAGGATCAAAACCTACATCTATCATGATGTATAGTATTACAGACCTTTCAAAACTTATAACTGTATAGGATGATGAACACACAATACAGTGTGCAGATAATATGTTTTGGAACTGTGCACCTGAAACCTGTATAATTTTGTTAACCAGTGTCACCCTGATAGGTTCAAGAAAAAACAAAAACAAGTAAAACTCTTTACTAAAGACCTAAAGGGCTGATAACATGATAGCTGGCATTCTATTTCTTGCAAATCTAAATAAAGCATACTGATGGTGAGTAAAAATAATAATTATTATAATTCCAGCAATCTCATTTTCTAAATATTAGTAGCAAAATAATGTACAGCAATAATACATATACACGCAATGTAAAGCTTTATAACAATGTTCATACTGTATCTGAATATTAACGTACTACTCTAATTACAATGTACTTATTACTAATTATAATGTACATATTACACTGTAATACATTATGTTAGTATGTTGTTGAACATAACGTTGCCATAAAAACGATTTGATTCCAATTGTGTACAAGTTTTTATGTGGATATTTATTTTCATTTATCTTGAATACACACACACCCACACACCCAGGAATGGTAATTCTGCTGAACTGTTTAAGGAACTGCCAGACTGTTTTTCAATATGGCTACATTTTACATTTCTACCAACTAGCTACACGGGGGAGGAGGGGTATCTCCACATCTTAGTCAATATACATTATTGTCATTTTGGTAATACCCATCCTAGCAGGCGTGAAGTGGTCTTATTGTATTTTTTATTAGTACTTCCCTAATGGTTGAAGATACTTAATGACTTTTCATGTGCTCACCAGACATTTGTGTATGTTCTTTGGAAAGATGTCATTCAAAACCTCTACCCACTTTTTAATTTGGATGTCTTATTACTATTGAACTGTAAGAGCTCTTGATACAAGTCCCTTATTAGATACATAATTTAGAAATACTTTCTCCTATTCTGTAGGTTATCTTTGCACTTTCTTGATGGAACTGTGTACAGCAAAATCCCTATTCATTTGAAAAGCTGTTTGAAAAATAAAAATGTCTAACACAATGGAGGAAGAACAGGGTTAAAAAGTTGTAATATTTAGAAAAAGTGAGGCATTATGGCCTCTGTCACTTATAAAGTAATACCTGAGCCCAACTACTATTACCAAGTTATCAGTTCTTAGGTGTCAATTTCCAAAAATAAACATTTTCATAAGAGTTTTAATTTGAGGATATCTTTTAATATGAGCAGACTGGGTGGTGGTGGTGGGGTCTATAGATTTGGCAAGCCTTTAAGAAGATAAACTTGACTAAAGTAATAATATAGAAGTGAAAAGAGAATGAACAATCAAGAACAGAATGTAGCCAATAAGAACCATCCAAATATTTCATAGAGCTCAGAAGTTAAAGAGGCCTGTCTAAACCAACATAAACTTATAATGCTGAGTTAGGCATACAGAGCAAGGCAATGCCAAAAGCATGAAAAATATATCAAACGGCTTATGCTGGAGAACTCTGCATTTTAAGGAATTCTATTGGGAATCTGTTATAAAACAAAAGCTTTTATATATAAAGGCAACATGGATTTTCAGATGCATTATTACATGATTGGACAGAGTGAAAGTTGCAAAACTGTCTTAAAAACTCTTAAAAATATAACATGATCTGCCACTTAAAATTAATGAAGCTTAACATAATTCAGCTGAAAAAAAATTCAGTTGAGGATAAAGTTCTAGAACTATCATAATGCAATATGTTAATAAGGGTAACATAACTAATCCTCAGTACCAACTATGTTTTTCCCTTAAAAAATAATCATTTCTGGCTGGTGTGGCTCAGTTGGTTGGAGCATCATCCTGTGCACTGAAGGGTCTCGGGTTCAATTCCCAGTCAGGGCACATACCCAGGTTTTGGGTTCCATCCTGGTCAGGGTGAGTATGGGAAGCAACTGATCTGTTTGTCTCTCACAGTGATGTTTCTCTCTCTCTCCCTTCCTCTCTGAAATCAATGGGAGGGACATATCCTTGGGTGAGGATTAAAAATAATAATAAAAATAATAAAAAAATTTCCTTCTCTTACCTTTACTTACTGACAGGAGAAGATTTGGGTCTCTTGGGTGGAATTTCAGCTCATTGATAGCATTTCCATGCCCAACATAGTGCTACAATAAATTTAAAACATATCAACTTTCATATAAAAATAATAAAATCTATTGTAAAATATTTAATCTGTGAGTAAATGTTTGCTAAGAAAAATAATAATAAATTTTTTCTTTAGTCTTAAGAGAATGGAAAAAGTTTCACTTAGTGGTTCTCAACCTTGGCCGCATATTAAAACCATCCAACAAAGAGAAAAAAAAACACATAAAAATAAAATCACCCAAAAACTTGAAGGGAAAAAAAAAAAAAAAAAAAAA